GCCAAAAAAGCCAATAATATCCAAATCATAGGGGTGCCAGAAGAAGAGGAAGAGCAAGAATTTGAAAACTTATTTGAAAAAATAATGAAAGAAAACCTCCCTTATTTGGAAAAGGAACTAGACGTACAAATCCAGGAAGCACAGAGTCTCCCAAACAAATTGGACCCAAAGAGGTTTACACCAAGACACATCATAATGAAACAGCAAAAGCTACAAACAGAGCATCTTAAAAGCGGCAAGAGAAAGGCAGAAAGTTACCTACAAAGGAGTTCCCATAAGACTACCGGCTGATTTCTCAAAAGAAACTTTGCAGGCAAGAAGGGGCTAGCAAGAACTATACAAAGTGATGGAAAGCAAGATTTGCTTTCCAGATTACTCAAGATTACTCTATCCAGCAAAGCTATCATTTAGAATGGAAGGACAGATAAAGTGCTTCCCAGACAAGGTAAAGCTAAAGGAGTTCATCACCACCAAGCCCTTATTATGTGAAATGTTAAAGGGACTTATTTAGGAAAAACTATCAAGATTAAAATGACATCAAACTCACAACTATCAACAACTGAATCTAAAAAACAACACAAAAAAACTAAGCAAACAACTAGAACAGGAATAAAATCATAGACATGGAGATCATCTGTAGGGTTATCAGCTGGGAAGGGGAAGGGGAGGATGAGGGAAAAGGTATAGGGATTTAGAAGCACAATTGGGAAGGTACAAAACAGACAGGGGGATGTTAAGAACAGTATAGACAATGAAGAAGCCAAAGAACTTCCATGCACAACCCCTGGACATGAATTAAGGGGGTGGATCACTGGAGAGAAGCGGGGAATGGAGCGGAGGGGCAGCAAAAAGGGAAAAATTAGGACAACTGTAATGGCATAATCAATAAAATATACTTTTAAAAAAATTGTTACGACTGCTTATCTGTAATGAGTGTGCTAGAAAACAAGAAAACAACATCATGACTTTGAAGGAAAATTATTTTGACCTGGAAATGCAATAGCTAGCCAAACAAATATCCAAGTATGAGAACAAAATAAAAATCTCTTTTTATGTGGTAGGGCTTAGAAAATTTACAACCTACAGACTTCTGCTGAAAAACTAACACAAGGATATTCTTTAATAATACAGGTAATAAACCCCAAAAAGGAAAACATTTGGACACAAGCAATAGTGATAAAAGTTACAGTTGTCTTATCTGCTAGTGCATGTTATTTCAAAAAACCATGATTAAAGAAATTACACCAAAAGTTAAAACTCAGGTAACAGGAAAAAAAGTGTGAAAAGATATGAAAAAGAAATTCATAGAAGATACAGAAGATAAATGGCCATTAAACAAATGAAAACATTCTTGCTCACTAGTATCCATGTAAATATAAATAAGATAAAAAAGTCTATAAACCACTGGTTTGGAAAAAATGTAATATCCAGTGTGGGAGAAGATACCTTTGTTACACTTGGCCTCATTTCTTGCTAATGGGAAAAAACCTTTTTGGACAATATTTGGGAATATCGACTAACATTTCAAGTATGCAGAAGCTATGAATCATCAATTCTAAAATTCTAATTCTATAATTCTAAAGAAATGCCATACATGTGCACAAAGATTTAAATAGCACCCATTTACACAGCATTCTAATAACAACAAAAAAACCTGGCAATAATCCTTTTCTTAAATTATATTTTATTGATTATGTTTTTACAGTTGTCCTGATTTTTCCCTCTTTGCCCACCCTACACCCAGCACCTCCACTCCCTCAGGCAAATCCACACCACTGTTCATGTCCATGGGTCATGTGTGTAAGTTCTTTGGCCACTCCATTTCCTATTCTGTATTTTACATCCCTGAGTATTTTGTAACGACCTAATTTTACTTAATCCCCTCACCTCTTTACCCATTCTCCAACCCCCTCCCATCTGGCACCCATCAAAATGTTCCCTGTATCCATTATTCTGTCCCTGTTCTTCTTCTTTGCTTAGTTTTTTAGATTCAATTGGTGACAGATTTGTATTTTTTGTCATTTTATTGTTCATAGTTTTGATCTCTTCCTTAAATATGTCTCTTTAATGTTTCATATAATAATGATTTAGTGATGATGAACTCCTTTAGTTTTTTGTTTGGGAAGCTCTTTATCTGTCCTTTGATTCTAAATGTTAGCTTTGCTGGGTAGAGCAATGTTGGCTGTAGGTCCCTGCTTTTCATGACTTTGAATATTTCTTGCCAATCCTTTCTAGCCTGCAAAGTTTCTTTTGAGAAATCAGCTGACAGTCTTACGGGAGCTCCCTTGTAGGTAACTGTCTTTCTCTTTCTGCTTTTAAGATTCTCTCTTTATCTTTAACCTTTGCTGTTTTAATTATGACGTGACTTGGAGTAGGCCTCTTTGCATCCATTTTATTTAGGACTCTCTGTGCTCCCCGACTTGCATGTCTATTTCCTTCACCGAATTTGGGAAGTTTTTTTTTTTTTCAAATAGATTTCCAATTTCTTGCTCTTTCTCTTCTCCTTTTGGCACCCCCATGATGCAAATGCTAGACCTAAGTTGTCCCAGAGGTTGCTTATACTATCCTCATTTTTGGGGGGTTCTTTTCTGTTGTTGTTGTTGTTCTGATTTTTTGTTTATGTTCCAAATCATTGATTTCTCAGCCCCATCCACCCTTCTGTTGTTTTCCTGTAAATTGTTCTTTATTTCAATTAGTGTATCCTTCATGTCTGACTGAATCTCTTTTATGCTGTTCAGGTCCTCACTAAATTCCTTGAGCATCTTTATAATCTGTGTTTTGAATTCTGCATCTGATAGGTTGCTTATCTCCATTTTATGTAGTTTTCTCTGGAATTTTGATCTGACCTTTCACTTGGACCATGTTTCTTTGTCTCCTCATTTTGGCAGACTCCCTGTTTGTTTCTGTGTATTAGGTAGAGCTGTTTTGACTCTGAGTCTTGGTAGTGTGGCCTAATGTTGGTGTCCTGTTGGGTCCAGTGGCACAGCCTCCCCATCATCCAAGCCAGGTACTAGAGGTGTGCCCTTCGTGGGGCTGAGTACACCTTCCTCCTGTAGTTTAGCCTTGGTTGCTGCTGGCAGCTCAATGGAGGGGTTTACCCAAGCCAGTCAGCTGCAACGACTGGCTGTGACTGCTTCCCACCAACCTCCAGCCTCCATGGAGGATCAGCTGTGCAGTGGCAAGGTGGGAGCTCTGACATGGTCTGTAGCTGTCCTCTGGGTGTGCTGACCCTGGTGTTTCCTGGGTGGTGCAGGCCAAGGTCAGCCCCCTCCTGTATATCACCCAGGGCCACCCTGCTTCAGTTATAAAGCACTCTGAGATGGCTGCTACTTATTCTGGGCTTGGAGATTCCCAGGCAAAGACAAGCTATGAATCTAGGATGGCTCCTGCTCTTGCCGAGCCTGGGGCTAAGGCTAGCTGTTGCTTGTCTGATAGGATTTTGGAAGTTGTAAAGCATGAGCCAAGACCAGTCGCTCATATGAAAAAGCAGCTGGGTAAGGCTGAGTCTCTAGGGATCTCCAAGGACAGTCAGAGTGTTAGGTTGATGGAGTCTCAGATATGGCACCAGCTTGCCAGCTTTGTGGGGAGACGGTTTAGAAAAGGGACAATGGCCTCTGCATGCCTTAATGTCAGGCACTTCAGTTCCTCCCCGTGTGCCACTGGTACCTTTCAAGCTGCTACCTGGGTGCTGGGGCTCAGAGGGAATGAGTCCGAGTAAGTCCACGTGTGGGTTCTTTAAGAGAAACTGCTTGGGGTTCCAACAGTTTCTCCCAACTCAATCCCCACTGGTTCTTACAACCAAAAGTTGTGGGGACTTACCTTCCTGGCACTGGAACCCTTGGCTGGGTGGCCTGGTATGGGGCTGGGACTTCTCGCTGGGATGCAGCCGTGCCATATTTTTATTTTTATCCACTACATGTGGGTGACAGATAGCCTGTTCTGTATCTGTGCTCCTCCTACCAGTCTGGATGGATGAGGTTTCTTTAATTCCGTAATTGTCAGACTTCCATTTAACTCAATTTCTGCTGGTTCTGAGTGAATGTTCTATATGCTAGTTGTAATTATGATGCGGTTGTGTGAAGAGATGAGCCATGTTTGCCTATTCCATTTTGAATTGCATGCCTGCAAATAATATTAATGTCCATTAATAGGACAATATTGATTAAATGATGATTCATCCATAAAATGGTATACGCAGCCACTGGGATGTCATAGACCCATGCATACTGATGAAAATAAATGTAAGGCCCACTGAGAGCTTTAAAACAAAAATTCTGTAGCACAGTGCTTTTTTATGTAAAAATGTCAGACACGCTCTATTAACATGTGCAACCGTGCAGAGCGTAGAAGAAGAGCCAACACATCCACCTACAGTTATTTATGAATGAAGAGCAGAGATTATGGTCATTCTTTATTTCAGCACATACCAATCCCAGGCAGGTTAGGTGGTCAACAACTTGAGTCCACACGGCCACATGAGGGCCCGGTGTGCCGGTAGTTTGTTTCGCTGCGGTGTGCCGCGCCAGGCGGAGCAGGCACTCAGGTTAGTGCCGATTGAAGTGGCTAATGTGCTACTCACGAATAAAACACTTGGACACGTGGAGAAAGAAAAGCGCAACTAAGGAACTTAAGTGACCACGCTGGTGAAGTCCTTGCACAGCACACTCGCCATCGGATTCCACTGCCCGAAACTGCCTCTGACTGCAAGAGAGAAGAGCCCAATGCCTCTCGGCCTCGACCTGGCTCAAGGAAAAGCCCCTGTTGTAAGTCACACGGGCCAGGGCTTAAAGACGTTACCGCTTCAGGTTACGGCGTAGCCCTGCGGGGCCAAATGCACCAAGCCCTATGCGTTCGCCTCTCGATGAGCAGTAGGCGAATAAATCTCACAGTCTTCCCACGCGGCGCAAGAGGTTCCGTCCCAGCGCCTCCCACGGAGGACGCAACAGACTCAGGCCTCAGTGCGCTCGTGCATCCCCGACTCCCGGCCCGTCTGCCCTTACCTCCCGGAGCGGACGCCAGCGACGACACACGCAGGCGACGGCCCCACAGAAGAAGAGCCCGCAGTTCACGCGCCATATCCGTCCTCCCGAACACCCCGCGTAACCACGCCCGCCGGAGGCGAGGCCTTCCTCCGGCGCGACGTGGTGACGCCACGGTCCGCGCCAGGCTGCCCTGTCCGCTGCCTGCGCCGGCGGGTGTCAGGAGGCCTCTGTCGAACGCGCCGGACTGTCCGGCTGGAGGCGGGACATCCGTGACCTTGTGTCGCGTTGTCAAGGGCGACAGGCTGAGCACTTATAGCTGATCAGTGAGCCAGCGCGGGTACTCCTCAGCCAGCTGGGCCTCAGTTTGTGCATCCCTAAAATGGGGCAAGTGTTCGCACCCACCCAGGGTTGGGGGTTTAAAAGGACAGGGTAACCATCTCTGGAGTCTAGTCACTCTCTTCAAACTAAGGAAGGCCACCTACGTAAAAAGAGTGAAGGGCAGATTTTTAGGCTTGACTTGTCTATACCAAGACATGAACTCAGGAGCCAACCCCCACGAACAGAACTGGGCTATTCATTCATTCCATCTCTTTCACCCTGCTGGAGGTACAAGTCTATTTGGGGATTCAGACAAATTCCATTTATCACAGTAACAAGCCAGGTAAAATATAGATTCTCCGAAGTGAGATCCAGGCAGGTCCCCAAATGATTCTGAGGGACACTAAAGACTCACTGCCAAAAAATAAAAAAAGTTTTTTCTTGAAAAAAGCACGATCACTTAAGTCCCTTAGCTCCGCTTTTCTTCCTCTCCACGTCCACGTTATTTTATACAAGTTGATTCCTCCAAAAAGACTCATTGCCACAATCAAATAATTGTACAAAAACGGGGTTACTAGAGATTGTGACAGGAGCAGCAAAGTATAGAGTACTCCGTAGGACATTGGATGTGTCAGGAAACGCTTCCAAGCAGAAGTCCTGAACCCCCAAGTTCCAGGCTTAAACAGCTGAGAAAGTTTAAGAGGTGGACAAAGTTGAATGAGAGACCAGGAACTTCTCTCACTTGGAAGACATCAGCAGCAACTCCCTCTCCCCCATTCTCTACACCCAACTGGATCACACAGTCCTCAATCAGAATCCTCCAGTAGTTTCCTTTCACACTTAACAATCAATTCCAAACCCCTCCAGGCCATGCATAATCTGCCCTCTGCCTACCTCACCACATTCCAGATATACAAAGTCAGTCCCAAGCATAACCATTCCCAGGATGTCACTGAAGCTAATTGGGGGGAATTAAGGGGTCTCAATCTCACATTTCACTCATTTTTCACTCCACTCAGGAAACCATCTTGCCCTGGCTGGTATGGCTCAGTGGACTGAGCACGAAGCCTGCACACTGAAAGGTGGCTGGTTTGATTCCCAGTCAGGGCACATGCCTGGCTTGCAGGCCAGGTCCCCAGTTGGGGGTATGTAAGGGGCAACCAATCAATGTTTCTCTCCCTCTCTCCTTCACTTCCCTTCTCTCTGAAAATAAATAAATAATGTCTTTTTTTAAAAAGATAAGAATATCATCTTGTGTCCAGATGACACACTAGTCTAAAGAGCAATAAATCTAGCTTGGGGAGCCCTTTTATTTCAGGAAGGGGAAGTGGAATTTGGCCAAGGGAACCGGGAAGCCCAAGTTTCAGTTAAGGATGAGGGTACTTTGCCAAGACAGGCAGGACCCACACTCTGCGGAGGGCAAATCTACCAGGTTCCAGGCACACCAACCAGGGACTTCTGTCCATTCTTGGTCTGTGGCCTTCAGAGACATACCCTCAGCTGCCAATTCTTGTGATACTGTGTCCTCTGATAGCCCAGGGAACCGTGGCTTTTTAAGATGATCAGGGATCCAAGTCAGTCTTGATGGGGTCATGGGCAGATTTAAGCCCCAGGCACACAAGGAAAATGGAAGATGGAAAAAAAATAATTAGATGCAGATATACTTGAATTGATGGAGACTACAGACTAGCTTAGGGAGAGCAGAGAGAAGCAGAAGGGGAGAGGGGAGGTATAGAGAGAGGCCCCCTGGGTCTCCTCGCCACCACTGTGGCAACTATAAGACTGCCATTCCTTTTCTAAATATCACTGCCTTCCCTTTGGGTGAGTTGAGGGTCATGAAAAATGCCCACTGCGTTATTCACAATAGCCAGAAGGTAAAAGCAAACCAAGTGTCCATTGCTGGTCGAGAGGATAAACAAAACATGGTCTATGCGTACAATGGAATATTTTTCAAACTTAGGAATTCTGACATGTGCTTCAACATGAATGAACCTTGAGAACATTATGATCTGTGAAATAAGCCAGCCACAAAAACAGTAACAGTATGATTCCACTAACATGAAGTAGGTAGACATCAAACTCACAAAGACAGAGAGTAAAAGGGTGGGTGCCAAGGGCTGGGGGAGGAGGAAAGGGAATTTAGTATTTAATGGGGACGAAGTTTCAGTTTTGCAAGATGAATAGAATTCTAGAGAGGATGGTGATTGCGCAACAATATAAATGTATTTGAAACCACTGAACTGTACTATTAAAAATGATTAAGAGAACTTCCGGGTTGGTGAACACATCCACATGCAGAGAAGGTGGCGCACCCTAACTCTGTAGGGACAGACACTCCTGCACTCAGGAGCCTTCCACCCCTCACCCTTGCACCCCCTCATCTGTCTGTCCATCTTCATCCTTTATTACACCCTTTATTTAATAAACTGTTTCTCGTGCCTCATACTTCAAAGGCCAATATTCAAAACATCAGAGCTTGAAGTAAGAAAATGTATATTGATGCAGAAGGTGCCAGCTCCAGAAGATGCGGGTACCTTATGGCTTCTGCAAATCTATCTTAAGAGAGCCCAGAATTCAGGCATCTTTTATGTAAAGGGAAGGCAAGAGCAGAATGTGGAAGTCTTGGCATTTGATCTCCATTTTTGACAGAGACCTGGAAACAAACGTCTTTAGATCCCAAAGGTCCATTTTTTCCAGGTTTGACATTTGCTCTTCAAGCCTTAGATCCATGTAGACTGAGGACCAGCAGCATTGATGTCACCTGGGAGTTGTTAGAAGTGCAGAATCTCAGGCTCCCGACCTGACATACTGGATCAAAATATCCCTCTCAACCAGTTCTCCGAGTGATTTATAAACATAGGGAAGTTTGAAAACGCTTGTTGCCTATCCTGATTACGTTTGACTTCCACCTCAATCTTGGGCTCCCTTGTCACTTGGATTCTCTTGTTCAACTATTGAACCATTGACTAGCATTAGGTATGGATGACTCCTGCATTCCTTGTATTGTCCCCAGGCTGCAGAAAAGCCACAAGGGTGGAAATTTAAACAATGACGATAACAACAACAACAAATGAAACTAAAAAAATGATTAAGATGGTAAATTTTATGTTATGTATATTTAACCACAATTTAAACATTTTCATTTGTTGAAGGCACCAACTCCTGGACAAACTTCTCTCCTCAGAAGGCAATGTCCTGTGAGTTCCTAGAGGAGGAAAGGCTCGTATCTGAAGGACACTTTTTGGCCCAGAAAAGTCCCAGGAATGATGCGATTCCCACCCCCCATCCCAATATTATGGATCCTCTTATAAGGCAGGCAATTTTTTGAAGCTAAAAGGTAGCAGTGTTAAGGAAATAAACTCCCAGATAGTCCTGCAGATGCTGGGTGTTATCTGAAAGCTATTCTATAATTGCCTTTGTGTTCAGGCCCCAGGAGCAAGGGTTTTCCCCAGGAGATGCAGGCCTGCACAGACCTGGTCAGGGAGAAGGGCAGCTGCAGCTTGGCGGCCTTTGGCCACAGCTTCAGAGATATTAACTGTCCCTAGATTTCTGAGGTATCAAAACCCTCCAATTCAGAAAAGCAATTAATGGCCAGGTGCCACCTGAAAGGTTTTGTATGTTCCTTGAAGTCCTTTTCATCCTCTGCAGGACTTTGATGCCAACTCAGCATGAGTTGGAACTAAAAATCCTAGTAGTTTGATGATTTGCTTAACAACTATATCCTTATGTTAGATGAGTATCAGTCCTCTGCCACCTTCAGAGACCTCCCGCAGCAGCATGGCTACATCTGGTGGGAACACAGCCCTGATCCCAACTTGCACACTTGCCAACAGTGAGATTTGGCCAGAAGACTTGAGGCCCTTTGTGGAAGCAGGTGTGGCCACTTGGTAGGACCTGACCTGGAACTTACTAGAACATTTCTAATTTCACTGGATGACTCTGAGGCTTTATCTCCATCTCCAAACTGCTCATTCTGCTTTGCTAGTAGCCACTTTTAATTCCACCATCAAGGATGCTGGGAACGTCACAAGTTGATTGCACAGACTCCTACATGTTTAGGGCTGAATGGACCTGAGGCCTTTCTCCCTTTTCATCCTCTACACTCACAGGGGTATCCAACCCATGGCCTGTGGTCTGCATGCGGTCCAGAATGGCTACGAATGCAGCCCAATACAAAATCGTAAATTTACTTAAAAACCTTTTTCTTGCTCATCAGTTTTCGTTAGTGTTTGTGCATTTAATGTGTGGCCCAAGACAACTCTTCTTCTAGTGCAGTCAGAGACACCAAAAGGTCGGACACCCCTGCTACAGCAGCAGCAGTCAGTCTGAGCTCCTCTAGGGGATTCCCTTGGCCACCCACTAGCCAGGTGACCCTTGGCAACACCTTCGCCTCTTGGCACCCTTCCACTGCGAACGTCTATGCTCCCTGCAGGAGGGGCAGAATGAGCCATGCTCATGGGCTCCCAGCCTCCCTATCTAGCCACGATAAGTGGAAGACAGAGCTGAGTCCAGACAACTATGAAATATCACTGGTAGGGTCTTTTCTGAGCATCTGACTCTCGGGAAGGCAGGGTGGAGAAGGCAGAAACCTCTCCCTGCATTTATTCCCAGAAGCTTCTGCTGGGGGATACCACTCAGTGAACTGGACTTGATGGTATGTTTTGGAAGATACCTTCTGTCCTGGCAAAGAGCTCGGATCACAATTTTTTCCCAGCTTGTGAATGAGGTATTGGAAGAAAAAATGTCCACCAAATCTCAAGCCTATTGTATCCATTGCTTATGAGAAGACAAGTGAGAATTGGTTTGGTCTGAGAGAC